CTGAGATTAAGCAGCTACTAGTCCCTTGGAGAGTCTCTTGAGAAGGACAACTAAATTTAGAAAAAAAGAACATAGTCCTCCCAAAAATGAAAGAAATCTGACCTGGCAAAAGAGACACAAAAACTGAAACTGTTCAGCCCATAGAAAAGTTTCCTGAAGACAGGAAGATGAGAACTTATAATCACCAGTTTGGACGATTAAGAGGGAAGCTGTCAGACTACTTTCTGCATTAAGTCAATAAAGGCAGGCCAAGAACCAATGAACTAAGAGCAGAAGAGAGGAAACACACTGTCTTGTGGAGCACCTGCCTCACTTTTCCCTTCTCACAATGTCATGATTGTCGTGACACCTGCAAAATTTTAGGAAAGCGTGGCTATATTCCACCTATATTCCATTTCTAAGAAATTATGAGTGGAAAACATGTGTGTAAGTTTCTTGGGATGACATATTTTATGGATAGTTTTTGAACTTTTATCTTCAGTGCTTTTAATGGATTACACTAAAAAGTTATTGTTGCTGATTTTACTGTTTTCTTCAAAGATCTGTCGATGAAAACTCAAAATTCCACAGGTGTTATGTTCAGGGATTTCTTCAGGGATTTCTGTTTCTACTAAGGTAGATACTTTTATTCTGCCACCCTCTTCCATCTCAGTGAATTGTATTATTAGCATATTAGTTGTGCATATGAAATTTGCTTACTGAAGCCAGGGAAAACATATTTTCCTAAGTTTCACAGCAAGAATTTACACATTCACTTCTGTTCCTTCTGTTTGCCTACACTGGATGTATTTGATACAGTACAGCAGTGTATATGGCAAATGCCAGGCTGTAATGAACAGAAAGAAAATAATCAAGTATGTAGAAGAAGAAGAAAAGACATTTTGGAAGAGGTTTTGTCTAAACCTCTTTTCCCTTACAGCAATGAAATTCCTATCAACTTATTGGTGGATCAGGACCATATAGCAACCAAACAAGTTAACACAAACACATTTGGGAGAAAAATATTTTTATAAGTAACTGGCAAGTGAAGTATAAGGATTATCACTAAGTTATACTGTGTGAGCAATCATTAATTGCTCCATTTTGAAATAAACTCTTGATTTCTCATTTTATGTACTTAATATATCTTCTCTGTGATTCCTATCACTGAGTACTCTTTTCTCTTTTCAAAAACAAGAATTTTCATTGTTTTATCTAGGCACTCAGAGATTTCATACTTATCACCCTGAACAGGACCTGAAAGTTCCTCAGAAGAAAATCATTTAAACATGCATGTGGCACACAAAAAATATAGTAGAATTACTCCCTTGATCAACATTCAGTATGAATTCAAGTACTCTGTCAGATCAGACCTTTTCTGAATTCATACATTATTCAAAATGTTTTAAGGGTATCTTTTGAGTTGCCTAGCTGGGGTAGTTTGCCATGAAGAGTTTCAGAAGTTTACTTACTGAAGAGTTTTAGAAGTTTACTTACAAGAGAAGAAGGACAGTAGAAGACCCAGCTCACAGGAGCTGTGGACATCTATGCTTGACCTCATTGAAAATTCAGGAACAGCAGATGTGACAACAGGATTATTAAGACAGGTTGGAAAACAGCATGAAAATGTCATCCCGTTATCTAAGTTGGCCATGCTACAGTGAGGTTAAGAGATGGAAACAGGTGATAAGTGTCTGATTTCACCAAAAGAGCAAGAATTACCAAACTGTGTTCAAGCATGGGCTTTTATGAGTATACCTATAAAAATGTCTGCAAAAGAGACCACACATTCTATGATTATTTTCAACCAATCACAAAAAACAACAACAAAAACCAAACAAAAAACAAACAAAAAAAAAAAAGCACCAAAAAAAAAAGCACCAAAAAAAACCCCAAGAAAACCCCCCAAAAACCAGGGAGACCAGAAGTCAGTCAGAGTCAGTGGAACTGATGATACCACACAACACTCTCACCTGATTCCTATCTTCATTCATGCATGCATTAGACAGTGGGCTACACAGCAAGCAATGGCAGTTTTCAGCTATGACTCAGGAAAGTAGGAGCTATCTTGACCAGGTTACTTTGCTGCCTTGTGTGTAAGTTTCACTTCCGAAAACTGAGGGCAGGCAGTAGCACTTGCTTGGAAGATCAGGAAGGAAAGGTAGGGAAGACAACAAACAGTGACACAACGAAATAAATTCATGAGATTTATTCCTTTCAGATACATTATGGAGGGTGTGATTGTGTTCATAGACAGGGAACTGAACCTGCTGCTCCTGCAAGTCCCTATTTGATCCCAGGCTTCTATCTACCTGTAAAGATTATAAAGGAAACCCTTTCATCTCCTAAGGTCATTGCTTGCAAAATTTATTTGGCAGCAAAGTTACATCTTTTAGCTAGCAATTAGACATCCATGGCTAAACGAAAGAGCAAAGGTTGCCTGGCTTAATCCCTACCCTCCAGCTTTGCAACCTGGGGTGAATAAATGACGTAAGAACTGCACAGGCTTATGTTTATTTATAATACTACATACCCAGCAACTCTAACCTGGAGCACTCCAGACTGGAAGGATACATTTTTATAATGCCTGTTTCTTCATTAAGATTTCATCATCCACCTACGCTAAAAAGCTACTTCCCCTTCACTTTGTTATATCTGCTTTTACCCGCTCCTGTTCTTGCATTATTTTTTTAATCTCCCATTCCTACTTTACATGCACTCTCAAATTTTAAACAAGCAAAATTTGTGCATTAGTGTGTCCTTTTCATCTATCATTTATGAATGACAGGTTCTTTGGTGCAGCTTAATGGTATGAGAGAGACATTATTTTAAACATTAAAGTGAAAACCATTTACAACTATGATAAGAGAGGTCTGTTGACATTAAACTTTAAAACATGCACAAGGTAAAGGCAAGTAGTTGCTCCCAACAGGTGAGAGTACTATGCATGTGCTTTGTAAGGGAGTTTGTTCAACACAAGAGCTGTCTCTTTGTTTTCTCTGTTTGACCACCTGTAGCATCTGGTGCCGCAAATAATGCATCTGGTAATGAGCAGCCACCAGAGTTTAATGACTAAAAGGTATTTAGGGCACAGTGCAGAGGAATAATTTTTTTAAATTACCATTATGTTGGAGGAAAATGTTTTGAACCATTTACATTGGAAAGAAATAACAATAAATAAATAAATAAAAAAATAAAACGAATTAAAGCTTCCTTTTTACACTTCCTGTTCACACCTTCATCACTTTCACACTGGACTATCACTTCCTTTACTGTCCTCATCCATTAAAACTACGCAATTCTGTTGTAAGATATTGGCTAACACTTAATCTTGCTATATTTTGTTCCATCCTATTCAGAAGCAACTGCATTCTGAGAAGTATCAACATAGGAATAGCAAATAAATACATCTGTATTTTATATCATATGTACTTGAACTGAATACTGTTCCTAACAGTGTCAGACACACTGATTGAACAGGGGAAAAAAGGGATCTTATAGAACTCCTTTCAGTCTGATTTTAGACCACAGGAAAAATGCAGGAGATTCCTCAGGGCAGAACCATTGCAAGCATGGTACAGCTCAGACAATAGAGAGGATACATACAGAGATTAACTTTTTCCTAGTTACTTTGGAGTCATGCAACTCTCTCAACAACTTGAAAGAGGATGGCAGAGCCTTATTGATAAAGCAGACCTCCCACAGCAAGAACAAAAACATATATCTAGGGCATGGATGACAGATGAGAAAACTCTGATTTTATTTTAAATTATATAAAAAGATATTTTCATGCAATGCTGTATTTTTAGTTGCCTCTAATCATACAGCTGCTTTAATCAAAAGTGGTGAAACAAGTTGTGTGTTGCAGTCAACTTGTTTGGAGGGAAGGAATAATGGTCCCAGAGGGACCTTGACAAGTTTGAGATGTGGGCTGAAGCAAACCTCATGAAATTCCACAAAGCAAAGTGCAAGGTCCTGCACCTGGGTCGCTGCAATCCCAGACACACCAATGGCTTGGGCAGAGAAATGATTCAGAGCAACCCTGGTAAGAAAGGCCTGGGGCTGACAGGTGATGAAAAACTCAACATGAGCCAGCTGTGTGTGCTCACAGCTCAGAAAGCCATTCAAGTCCTGGGCTGCATCACAAGGAGCATGGCCAGGAGGTCAAAGGAGGTGATTCTGCCCCTCTGCTCACATGTCATCCCACCTGGAGTATGCACAGCTGTGGTGTCCCCAAGATAAGAAACATGTGAAACTGTTGGAGCAAGTTCAGGGGAGGACCATGAAGTTTTTAAGAGGACTGGAGCACCTTCCTTATGAACACAGGCTGAGAAAGTAGGGGCTGTTCAGCCTGGAGAAGATCACATGGAGACCTTATGGCAAATTTCCAGTATCTGAAGGGGTTCTACAAGAAAGCTGGAGAGGGACTCCTCACCAGGATCTATAGAGGAAGGACAAGGAATAATAGGTACAAGTTGAAAGAGGGAAGATTTAGATTAGATATTAGGAAAAAAATAATTCGCTGGGAGGGTGATAAGACAGTGGAATAGGGTGCCAAAGGAGGTTGGGGATGTCCCAACCTTGACAAGTTGGGTAAGACATCAAGAAACCTGGTTTAGGGGGAGGTATCTCTGCCCATGGCAGGTGGTGTTGGGACTAGATGATCTTAAAGTCCATTCCAAACCTTTGATATTCTATGATTCTGTTATTCTATAGCTTGAAATCTCCAAGTGATCTGTGAGTAGAGAACATTGATCATTGATGACAGAAAAACCTAATGAGTCATTCAAGTGGTTTGCATTACTGACCCACAGAATGTAAGACCCAAACTCCAACATGTTTCTATAAAAAGGCAAATAGCCCTTAAGTGTCTCTCAAGCATTCAAAAACAATCCAGGTATTACTTTTCAATATTCATGGAGAGCAACATTTAATTTGAAAAAGATATAACTCAATTTAAAGAAAGACAGGGCATAAAACATGTTAGAGAACCTGTTGGAAAAATTATGAACATGACTTACCTTGTAGATTTTGCAATGGCAAAGTCATGATGCCTCCTGCTGCAGCTGCTGCTACCAGTCCTTGGATGTTGGTGAGATTTGCTGTAGGTAGAGTCAGGACGAGTCCTTGTTGGCCCCCCAGCTGCCCAGCCATGTTGAAAGGAATAAGGATTGGCTGATTCAGGGCTGGAGTGCCTCCTGGCATCACCCCTGCTACTGCTGAGGCTAACTGTTGGGCTGTCAGTAGTGGCTGTAAGAAACCACAGGTACAAACCTATTTCAGTGTGTATGACTCAGTATTACACACTTTCAACCTTCTTGCTTGAGATCCTTTCGTGTTCCATTACAGACATGCACTGCTTCCAGTATCTTAAAGCATACATTTTCACCAACACAGAAAACTTTGACAACTATGACAGTCTGAAACTGTAAGCCTCAGTCAAACAGCATAGTAGCAATCCCAGCTGAATCTAGACTGGAAAATTCATTACACATACACCAAAAATAATTTATGAGCAAAAGAAGACATAACTCAACTTAGCCTACAAGTACTTAAATGCCAACATTTCCCAAAAATTCCTGGTTGTATACTGATTGATAATAGCAGAAAACACTAGTGACAACTACCAGAAGCTTTGTGGACCAAGACTGTCCTGGAAAGTGGAAGAATATTGAGTGTCTTCTTGGAGTATAGCTGAACTTGGATTAATTTGTGATGTAGGATAGGAAATATTTTAAAGTCTTATAAAATGCAATACTACTTTGTCTACACTTTGCTCTAAAGAAAATAAATATCTGATATAAAAGATAATGAAATACCTTTACTAATACAGGAGTTCTGTGTGACAGACAACTGTCAGAGACAATAATTCTGCATTAAAATTGCACCAGATTTTCAATATTAAATTATTATATTCATTTCAGAAGTAATTCACATAAGAAATTGCAATATTTTAACTTCCTAAATATGTAAAACTTAGGTTTTATTTTAGAAAAGCAAACAAAATATAATCCTGCCAAACTTGACTTTCAAAATATACATGATACATATTCTCTTTTTGTACCACTGAACGCAGCCAAAGAGATTCACATTTTCTACATTACACATATCAAAGATGATCAGTCACAGTTATTCATTGTTCACCAAATTGCACATCTCAATTAGTTAAAAGGAAAGATACTGACCTGAGGCCCAACAGGGAATGCAGGATGGGACTGACTGGGTTGGTGCTGGTCTGCTGGGCTTGTATCAGGCAGCACTGTGTTTCCTCTGGCCTCTGAAATTCAGAGAACAGATTGACTTTAATATCAAGCCTGGGGACTGCCACATTACCTTCTACTCTGATGTCACATAACATGAAGCTGAAAATGATATGTTAAAGTGCTTTATCAATAACTCAAGCACTCAAATTGCTTATCAGCTGCATAAATTATGCTAACGTTCATTCAGACCAGCCAGCTCATTCAAAGAGTTACAGAAATCTGACAGCAGTGAAACTGAAGCTATCATCAACCCAGCTAATGTGGGTTGCATTATACATCAATTTACATACAGCACATGAGCACTCCGTGTGTGTAGGAACTGCATTTTTTACGCTTAGGTGAGCATCAGCCATTGCAATTTCTGAAAGCAAAAATTATCTGAAAAGTAATCAAGTCACATCTACTTTCTATCTTAATAAAGTATTTTCTTTTGTCAGTTACTGAGGGAGCAAATGCTGTACTATGCACAATAAAAAGACACTATGAAAACTAGTATGCTTTCATATGACAGCTTGTTTTTTAAATTGTATGTGGGGGATTAGCAAAATTCTGCAAAATCAAGGATTTCCAGCATTTATTGAGACGATCAATATCCAACAATCGAAATGTATGCTGGGTGCTAATGACTTGCTAAGCATAGAACACAGTCCAGCCCTGATAAATTTTGCTGAAATCTGCAATACAGATTTGAAAGGGGGGAAGAAAACTAAAAACATCCTATCAGTTGTAAGAAAGTACCAAGATATTTTCAAAACTAGACCCCAATCCTCCATTTCCTCTGGGTGAAGGGCTCAACTGATTCCCAACTTTTCAGTGATGATGATCAGGCCCACATTGATTTTTGAGGTTGTAAGAATGACAGCAAGTATCACATGTAGCTTCAAGAGTACTGTAGTCTCTTATAAAGAAATCCCTGGCAAAGGCATCAGGTTTCCTGATTGGTATATCTTCTGTTTTGGTTTTTTTTTTCTGATGAGTGGTTGAAATTCCATTCTGAGTAAACCTTAACAAGATGCTCTTTTCTAATGTTTGTCCTATGAATAGCAAGATAATTCAGAAACAGTTTCTTGGCACACCCTTGTACTGTTAGGAAAAAGGATACGATTCTGTCATAAATTTTAAAGAGGGTATTATCAGCTCATTTAAAACAAATTCTTTTATATATTCTCCAAGGGGAACAACTTATAAATAATGGAAATGTGGAAAAAAACCCACCTTCACCACATTAAGGTTCAAATAAAATTGACTGCTACATATTATTCAATTGACTTCCATCTCTACAGCAAGCTGTCAATCATAACAGCATTTTAGAATTGGATTAAACAATAAATGTGCAGACTTATTATGCAGAAATCTGAAAATCTGATTAATTTGTAATATCTTAGTGTGGTCTTAAAAATTCAGAAATGGACATTGCTCCGGGAATACTTACAAATGGTCTATTGAAATATCTGTTTTGGAACTAATAAAACATATAAACTTGCTGACATTTTATAAAGGGAATTCTACAGAAATGTGTTTGCTGTTTTAATGACCATTGTCGTTTAATAATGAGAATAAGCTGACCTACTATAATCAGTGAGGATTGAAAAAATTGCCTAGTAACATGCTAAAAGAGACACAGTCACTAAATTTTTTATCTGCAATTTACTCATTCAAGTTAAATGAAAAGAGAAAAATGTAACTAGATATGCGCAATTCAGTGAAAACTCTTTTTTTCAAATGCAGAGCAATTCTAGTGCTGATGCCAACCCTAAGACCAAAACCAGGGTTTCCCCAGTGTTATGTCCTCCTATACAAAATAAAGTGCTATGTTCCTAAGCATAATTTTTCCTTTGGTAATTTCCACATACTGTTGTGGTCCTTCTTTTTTAATCTTCACAGCTGTATTTATAAAGTGACATTAGATCCAAGGCTCAATACCAATGAAGATATCACTCTCCATTAAGATCAAATCTTAGAAGTCAATTTTGTTTTATGTAATTTTAAGGGCTGTGAGTTTTGTCTATGTGTGTGATTTAATCAATATTAAAACAAGCTCCTGATAATATGTCATATCATTAAATAACCTAATGAAATCTTTGGGAAAAGAACAAAACCAAAGGCATTAGAATTAGATTTTATTGCAATTTTTATACCTTGAGCTCTCAGAAAATATGTAAGAAGTTCTGAAGTAATATGCCTGTCTGATAGTATTCTTTTTTCCATGGTGCTCATCCAAAGAACCACCAATTTCTGTTATCTGTACCATAATGATTTTTCAATATTTGATCACACAATCTTTATGTAACATAAGTTGGTTATATTGGACCATCAAGCCAAAATTAATTACACTGCTTTCCTTTTTCATTGTACTAACTGAAATCACATAGGATTACATTCCTGTCACACCACAGATGATTGTTTTGGGTTTTTTTATTTCAGTGCTCAAATGCTCTTCCTGCTGCTCCTAATTCAGTTCCCATAGGATGCAGTCATCTCAAGAACAGAGCACACACTTTCATGTGGTCTTACATGGCATCCTATATGAAATTATCAATCCTGTATTCTCTGACTGAAATTCTCAGATCTCTCCTGCCCCTTCTAATCTACCTGCTATAACAGACACTTAAGAGTCAAGAAAATGTACAAGAAAATCTGCCTGCTGGGCTGGCACTAAATACAGGGAAGCAAGAATTTCAGGGCAATATCTGTTGCATCACACAATGACAGCATTTTTTCCTTGCTGTATGCTGCGTTCACTGACACACATAGGTCAACACTGAAGAAGGCAAGGCAGAGCACAAAACATTGCTAGAAGGCTAGTTTTTCTTTTCTGCCTTTTATTTCTGACTGGGGGGAATCCCCTGATTTCAGAGGAGTTGGGGTGCTCTGTCTATTTGTGATTTCTCTACTAATTCTGCTTCAGAGATTCATTACTATGAATTTGGAAGAATGCCTTCATTAAGACCAACTGCCCTAAACTGGCAGCACACAATCCCCTACACTGTTTCTTGCCAATGTTTTACTGAGTTTATTTGGGAGTTGGTTAATTCCACATGCTGGAACGACCTCTGCAGGTAAATTATCCCTTTGCCCAAATTCCAGTCCTCACTAATGGAAATGGACTGTCAAAATCTAGCCTAGATTTTCCACTTGTCTGATCCAGGCCCAGTTACCTCCTGTTAGGTTGAACTCCAACTCTGCTCAGCCAGTCCGCCAGCAAGGAACCAGGACTTATAACAACCCCTTTGGAGCTGGGGAACTACCAGCAGTACCTTCTCTGTTTGCAACTGTGTTTTGCAGAAATTCTACCCTCATTACAACCCCGACTCCTGGTGCAAAAGGGGCAGGGGGAAGGCAGTAGCAGGGCTGCTGCTCTGAAAAGAGAACCAATTCTCCTTAACATTGTTTGCCCAGGCAGGGCTCTTATAATGACTGAGTCCTGACAACACAGCCTAAGTCATTGAGCTTGCTCAATTGTACCATATGAACAGACAGGAGTGCCATTGCCATAGTACTGCCACGACTGTAGACAAGGCTTTAATATTTAATAAGGAGTATTCATCATATGTGATTCATCATAAATTAATTATAAATTATATAATTCATACCTCTCATCTCACCAAGGGACTGGAAGGGCATGACACAATAAAAAAAATTGAAGTGCACTGTAAACACTCTAAAAGAGCCTTCTTAAAATGAAATATTATTTAAAATAAAGCTAAGTAAAACAAAGGCAACCTTCTTCTCCCCTTATCAAAATGAGAAAAAAAATCCACAAACCAAGTGAAAAACCATGTTGCACAATATCTGGTTTAGAAAACAGAAAACAACAACAAGAGAAACATCAGAAGAAAAAAAATTCCAAGTCTCAAGGCCACCAAGCATCATAAAAAATTACAACTGTAAATGTACTGGTTATAAAAGGCTTTCCATAGTTTGCTTCCATTTTGCTTCTTACACATTTTCAGCAACACAACAGGTAACTCAGTTCTTAGCGTCTTCCAGTGCCCTGTGAAGGTGAGAATGCTCCAATGCCCCACTTTACAGCAAATTGGGAAAAGAGAATCCAATATGGATTCTCAAATAAGCCCAGTTTAGCTGATCTCCCCAGCTCTAGATCCACTGTTCAGGAAGGCATGAGTCAAAACACAAAACTGCTCTGCAGCTCCTTGGCTGCTCCAGGGCTACAGCAGCTCTGACAAGGTGACCCTGCACGTGCTCCCCAGCATCCTCACTTGGATGCAATGCCTGGCCCAGCTGCCCTTGTCTCACCTGGTCTCTGGTGCTTGCAAGGAACCTGCAGCTGACTGAAAAATGGTACAGAACAGCGTCACAGCATTGAGTGCATTAAACTGGTACATCCAGCTCCACCCTGGCGTTTCTGCACGTGTGTGCTTGTGCCTGCTCAAAGCCATGGTGCACCCTGGCATCTCTTCTCAAACTCTGCACGAAAGCTCCCTCAAAGCCAATGCTCATACCAAAGCACAGCACTAATCTCAGCAGATGACCTGGATATGAAAAACTTCCTCATGGTCTTCATGAATGAATTCAATATGTCTCACATTTGTATCAAATTTAGGGATATGCTGGACCACCTCTCCTTACCACTCAATGCTTTGAAAAATGGCCTGGATCAAATTCAATAATACTAGATTTTCAGTGATATAAAGAATATATAAATCCTTCTGAGATATCAGAAAATATTTCAAATGCATTAACATTAATAAAAGAACACATTTCAAGCAACAGTTGATATTAAATCTTTAGCTAGTTCCACAATGCAACATTAAATTATTTTTATTTATCTGTCAGTAACCATAACAATAAGAAATCAAGAGTAGACTTTTTTCTTACTCACTGAGACAACTCACATTAACGATACAGCTTTAAGAATTAAATCATTAAAGTAAAAATACTGCCTGTGAGAAAAGTGTTACGTCTTTAAAACTAAAAAAAAAATAAACTAAACAATCTGAGCAAAACATTGCTGCATTTAGCTCATAATCAAGAAAAAAACCCTAACTTTTTA